GGTAGGCAGACATTAAGAAACAACACCAATACCAGAACACCAGTTGCCTACGTTCGACGGGCAATATTTCTTCCTTTCCTTGACAACTTGTTGGAGCAAATAAATACCCGCTTTAATGGACGATCATGCAGAAGCGGCATTGCTTGGACTGCTACTGATACCTGCCAAGTTACAGCAGCTTAACGAGTCTTCTCAAGAGAAACTTATTCAGCATTATTACCCTGATCTGCCGTCCCCAAGCAGTGCGTCGCAGGATCTGGAGCTGTGGAAGTGCTTCTGGTATGTTATTCTGCGTTAATGCTATACATGGATTAACAAGTTTATAGTGAAACTGTGATAAGCTGAAAAAATCGATTATACCTTGTCTTGAGATATGTGTTAATTCTTGCTTTTATTTTTGGGAACAACGCTACCGTAAAATTCACGACACTACAAGAGACATTGAAAGCCTGCAGCTCTAGCCTCTACCCCAATGTCCACACAATTTTACGCCTCCTGTTAATCACCCCAGTCACAAGTGCAACTGTTGAACGTAGCAACTCTTCACTGCACTTTGTGAAGAATGTTTATCGCAGCACCATGGGAGACGAACGTCTAAATGCACTGTTGTTGCTCTTTATTCACAAAGACATACCTTTAAATTATAATGCAGTTGTTGACGAGTACGCCAAACGAAACCAGAGAAGGATGACCTTCATCAAAACACTGCAGTGATTTATTTCGATTAATACTGGATGTATAAATGCAGTGCAATGACTCTGTTAACAGTTCGCCTACTACTAACACTAGGATTTTGCTTTGAAAATCGTTTTTATAAAATGCTCTTTAATTCTATCTTCCGAAACGCTAACGTTACTTTACTTTGCATCACGAATACGCCCACAATCATGTATGCTGCATCTCCATAAAAGTGACGTTTTCATTCGGGGAGGAGGGTGGGGAACTCGGCCCCCTCTTTCTGAATTTTCTGGATCCGCCCCTGGTCCTCAAACAAAGAACTGGAAAAACGAATCACTGAACATGCGTTCAACTGTATTTTGTTTTGAAAAAAGAAACTGAGTCGAGACCATAGCGTGACTAATTGTCGTCAATCGGAAAACCACAAAACTAGTAATTATTTTCTTTTCAGTCTTCAACTGACAATCCAGTTTTCGGTGCTGTTCTCAAGAACCTTATACTCTGAAGAAACTGATGAGAACAGCGAGCAAACTCTCAGTCACAGCAGAAAAACATCGATGTTTTGTTCGCGCACGGTGAAAGCCGCGAAGCGCAAGGCAAAGACCGAAGCAACCAGGGCTCAACTTTGCAAACGCTGCTTATTTCCTCCAAACAAAAACAAGGAAAACAAAACATCGACATCTGCTGAACCGCCCATTCTTGGCAAAAACAGCCATGACCCACAGGATGCTAGTGGAGAAATAGTAAGCCCAAAAAGTGGAAATTGGGTGGATTATTTGCATCTCTTCTTTGGTTTATCTGTAAATAAAAAATAAAATAAACCAAAAATTTCTACTTCCAGACAGCACCACAGCCACAAAAGAGCTCCTGGAGCTTACAAATTTCACACGCGAGTGGTTCTTGGTGCCACTGACAGTGGAATAGGCTAAACACACAGCGAAGTGGGAAACTGGGGAGGGGAAATTGGTCCTGCTTTTGAAGAGGTTGCTGCCAATTCTTGCAGCATGGCTTTGGAAAAAAGCAATTGATATTGGAAAATCTCACGCGAAGAACCCTGCCCCTGATGGTTTGTAACCTCTCTCTGTTTCACATGATATGCAACGGTTAAAACTTGGGGCCAATGATTCACTGATAGGGCATGGAGCAATGATGGACTCCGAAACCAAAAACGTTCTTCACTACACTAAAAGTGGTCGATCAAAATGTAAAGAACCAGCTCATCATGTCTGCCGCCTAAATCACAAGGTTCGTCAAAATCAATGGAACGTGAATTAGGAGTTAGATTATGTAATAATGTTCCTAATCATGGCAAAAAGTACTCTGTTTTCACTGGAGATTATGACTGCGCCACAAATGCAAGATTCGTGAAGAGGCATACAGTGTAGAAAAATGGTCTGACAGTACTCGTGCAACAAGAACACATGCGAGTCACCTCCACGAGATCAGGCGTACGTTTCTCGATAGACTCGAAAACGTCTCGGGCCCGAAAGGTTTTCGGAGCTCTTTACGGGTGATATTCTCGGGTACAGGAAAGTGTTTCTCAGATCCCCCGAAAACACCCAGAATCCCCTTACGAATATTTCGGGTTTTTCTCGGGACGGCGAAGATTTGTAGCGTGAGCTAGGAAACGTATTCCAGAATCTTTTGGTCTTAGCTTATTATTATTATTATTATTATTATTATTATTATTATTATTAT